CAAGCCCATTGCACTTGCCTCAATAGAACTTTATTAAGGAGTATCTTTCATCAGACAAACCCATCACTTCACGATCTTCAAGAACCTTCTTGTACTAGAAAAATTATATCAATTACTATATCAAACTGCTTAATAAAGCACTTGAATGTCACCATGCGGAAATTGTTGATTATTTGAGCAATCAGGCAATCAATATTTCCAAATGGTATGCATGAATGATTGACAAGTTAAATTTCATCTGCAAAAATGACACTTGAACCTTTGTCTCAGTATAACTCAGGGCCAAGACGATTACTTGCAAATGGATTTTTTGGGTCAAGACTACAAGTAGATTTTGCATCACGACTCAAGTTCCGCCTAGAGGCAAAAAGAAGGTATGGACTTTTCTAACACCTTTGCATCTGTAGTAAAATGATCACTTGCAAATGGATTTTTCGGGTCAAGTCTACAAGTAGATTTTGCATCACGACTCAAGTTCCGCCTAGAGGCAAAAAGAAGGTATGGACTTTTCTAACACCTTTGCATCCGTAGTAAAATGATCGACTATTATGAGCACTTCAACCATAGCTGCCCATACTAGGTGATCTATTTATGGAACTCGATGTAAATACCTGACTTTTTTTAAGCGCATTATTATTGAGGATGTATATGTACATCAGTACCTACATTTTCTAAAAGGTATTTTGAGAACTTTGTTTCTAAGCTTAATAAAACCCTTTATGAGCTTAGACAGGCTCTTAGGTTCTGGTATAAATTCATAAACAAGTATTTATGTATAGCAGGATGGACTTGTAGCAACTTTTATCCATATCACTACATCCTCGGGGAGCGCTCTCTCATTGTTTTATTGATGTTATACTTTGATCCATAACTCTACATCTTCATGAGTGCTCTCTCATTGTTTTATTAATGTTATACTTTGATCCATATCTCTGCATCTTCATGAGTGCTCTCTCATTGTTTTATTAATGTTATACATTGATCACATGTATATCACCGATAACAACCCGTCCAAAAATTTTGAACTTAAGGCTGATCTTATGAATTAATACAAAATGAAGGACTTGGGAAAGATTATAAGTGATTTAGGAGTAGAATTTGTTAGAAGTCAAGAAGTACTTTTTTTGCACCAAAAATCTTGCATTCTAAAGGTTCTCGAAGAGTTTAAAATGAAATACTACAAAATGTAAGAACTGCATGTATAGTAAAAAGAATACTTGATTGAAAATACATTTATCCCTTCTAATGATCTCACATTATATCGGAAATTGATGGATCATGTGCTATTTGCAACAAACACAAGATTTGACATTTGCTTTAGTGTTGGATAGCTCTTTGTACTCATGACCAAGCCTCACAAAGCCCATTTGGATGTGGATTTGCAGACCTTACAATATTTGAAAGAAACGTTGGATCACGACTTGTTCTTTTGGTTTTTCACTTCAATTACAAGAGTACACCGATGCCTTTTGAGACTCATGCCTGGATATTTTTAAATCCATCAAAGCGTATACTTTTACGCTTGCTACTGGAGCAATTTCTTGATGCTCCAAAAAGAAAGCTTTGATATCGCTTTCATCCAGTAAAAGCAAATACAAGGCCCTTTCACTCGGTGCTCATGAGATCATTTGGCTTCTCCAACTAATCAAAGAAATAAATTTGACAACACTATCGCCTACATCACTCTCATGTAATAATCTCTATGTAACGTACACATTGCACAACTTTGAATTACCTGAGAAATCTACAATTGCTCATTGCAACAACAAGAATGTCATTAAATTTGCAAACAATCCAATGTTTCATGCGCGCACTAAACATATAGACATATAGTATCACTTTACTAGGAAGAGAGTTGATATAGTCAAAATTACAATCTATTTTCTGTCAACTAAGCTTGAGTCATCAAATATGTTGACTAAAGTCTTGCCAAGATTAAAGTTCAATCAACATTGATATTTTTAGTGCTCCGTAGTATTTCAGATCTGAAGTAGACTCTCTTGTCTCCCTACCAAGACATTCTAACGTCTAATTTGAACAAAAAACTCAACTTTTCTCATAGTTCTAAAGACCTTTGTGCAGGTTTTCTAGATACCCCACTACTTGAACCGCGGCCTCTTGCCAGCTTAAGTATACATCAGTGCGACTTCCAATGGCATCGAGTAGTACTTCGTCATTGGATTGCTAAAATCGTCATCTATAAATTTTGGTTTAAGAGTATGGGACTCGCTAACACTTAAACCAACAGGTTGTTGAGGCTTTAGAGACACACTGACATCGCCTTTGCGGTAATGGATTACAAATATTTAACTCTTTTCTAATGATCGCAATCTCTTCTGATGTAATAATTAGATTTGAAAAACCGTAACGACATGAAGTGGCAATTTCCAAATGTACTCCTCTCTCCAACAACTTTCTCCACGTTGAATTCACTTTGTCAAATGCATCACCTCACTTTCAAGTTCATCATCATCAATGACAAATTTTTTGCGACACACTGCTTCCATTCACCGCTACCCTGACTCCACAAAGTTTGCAGATTAGTCCCAATAACATGCAAATAAATCTCTATAGCATAGATCATAGTGACTTCTCAAGAATCTCTAAAAATGTCTTGCCCTTGCCTCTTAGATTTGACATTCTTTGAACAAATTTCTACAAATTTCATGTTGATCTTTGCACTCTAGAGTAAGTGAATATGTTAGAATTATGTATTCTTAGAATGCGTACAATATATCAATTAATTAAGTGTGTCATCTTATTCTAAAGGTGAGTACCTAAGTGAACCAAAATATCATAAGTGAAATCGTTGTGATGATTAGGGATAAGGCAACAGTATGTGACAAAATAACTTGGACTATATGTATTCGCTCACTTCATTAATATTGTAATGAGCCTGATTACAATCCGCGTATTTTCAACAACGCGAAGCACATAGTGGATATTAAGAGAGATGAAGCTCCTAACCATGAAGAGATATTTCAATGAGTTATTGAAACTTTTCTGCTAGAGATTGCCCATGTACTAGAGTAAATTGCAAGGATGCGGATTCTACTTACAACTTCCATCAGGATATCAAATTGAAAATTACAACTTTGAGTAACAATTTTGTGGTTAAATCCACAAGAGATGACTTTGAGTTGCCAAAAGAGCTTGATGATAAAATGTATTAAAGTTAGCGGACCTGACTTCTCTAATAGGCCAAAAAGTAAACAACAAAGGAAAATAAGAATGTTATCAGAAGTACACAGAACATTGGTTGAGATGGAAGAAGCATTCAGTGTACACTAGGCTTCTAATTACTCTACTTACACTAATCAATCCCTCCGCCTTCTCAAATGAATCTACATTCCGCAATTCATTCAAAATTTTCATTTCTTTTTTCAATTTATATTGTTAAAAAATAAAACTATTTTCTATCAAATTTTTATAACTTTTTATGATCATTTCAAACATATGTATATATTTTATGTTTAATATTTTTACTATAATTAAATATATATTAAAAATCAATAATTTTATATTTCATTAAATTTCTAGGATTTTTTTCATTATTTCTTTTAATTTTTTTTGAATAATATTAAAAACTGTAATTTTACTTTTCAAAATATAATTTTGATTAATAGTTATGATATGTCTATATCTAAAAATCTTTAAATTGTTACATTAGACCATTTTAGATCCGTATTGCATAAATAAAAGCAAAATATAGACTCTCATGTTATAAGTTGTACCATGAAACTCAATAAGTGAATCTAAAATATTTATGAAAGCTTTAGATTTATTTTACAAAATAATATATAACATATCATATCATAGAAAATGAGTACAATGAAAAAATCAAATATTGATAAAAGTTTCCATATGCACTGGAACGTCAATTTCTAAATGTGAATTTTTAACATAAACTCACATCAATTACATTAGTATGAAATGTGTTTTTGATATTCATTGTTTTGAATATCAAAAATAATCAAAACATGTTTTACAAAATAATAAGATTCAAGATAGATTTTTTTGAGCTTTAAATATACCATGATATATTATTATTTAACTAATTTTTCATTTGGAATTATTATATGTTTTTTTCTTATTCCATAAATCTAAAAGATAATTTTATCTTCAAATATCCAAATATCAAAGATATTTTCATAGAAATTTCACGAATTTAAAAAAAAAAATGCAATTTGAGCTAATCTCATCTCATTAGATAATTATTCACATCATTTTAAATCTTTATGTCAACATCAAATGCAAGAGAAGAAAGAGCTCCATGTAGTTCATCATTTTTTAATGAATTTCAACTCAATTTTGAGATCAGATTTTTTTTTCAATCACAATGTCTTACAAAACATTTACACAACAAGAAAATACATTATAACATCAAATTTCAAGAATTCATTTGAAGATTGACATCAATTTTCTGGTTATAACAGACATGTTCAAAGTTGTAAACATTTTTTCTGAATTTTGATTACAATTTTTTCATTAAATCTAAATCTATTGAGTACCTTTTTTAAAAATTTTTTTTAGTTAAATATTTATACTCAGAGTTCAAATTTTTCCTGAACAATTTTTTCATCAACCCATCTTTCATTTTCATCAAATTTTGGTTTTTAATAACACACATATTGAATTCTAATTGAAAATATTTCAAAAAAAAATGTTAAATATTTCTCATTAGTTTCCAAGAAACAAAATGTGGAAAAAATTACAAACTAGAAACTAAACTACAAAATATAGTTTACATCAATATACTTCATAATCCATGATTTACAAAAGCTTTACTAATGTTCTTCCGTTGTTCTTGATATCGACTTGGATCCCACGTTCTGCATCACTATTACCATAAATGTGAACAAATGGAATGATGCAAAAGACATAGATTTACAAATATTTTATACAGGCACATCATAGGGTATGGAGTTGCATTGAATTACTCGACAGTGAAAGCATTTGCCGACCTGAATCTGCATTTGCAGCTGCGTGTGCGGGCGACTTTTCGTTTGCTTTCGTCGACGGCTCTGGACAGACATAGACAGAGAGAGACGGACGGACATTTTAAACTTGAAGGAGTTGTGAATGGATCGATGTATCGAATGCTGCGCGGCTTACTGCTCGCTCAAAGTGGCAGCGTCCGAAGCTGATGATGTCAGGCGGCTTTCTGCGAATGAAGATCCGAGTCTGTGGCATTAAATTCTGGCAGCACGAAACTGCTTCGAGCATTGCTGTGCGGAATATCATGATCTGACTCCGAGTTGTTCAAAGAAGCAATTGTGTCGAATCGGTGCTTCTTTGGTGGAAGGATGTTGCCCACAGTGCTTATGGTAAGCTGCCCTTACGCATTTGGGAATGTACCGCAAGGCTTGTAAAAGAAGATGATAAACTAGTCCGTTCTATTTGTAAAAAGCTTTGGTTCTTCTCGAATCGCGTCTTTCATCTTCACCATGATTTAGAATTTTTCCACTTAAATTGTCTCTCACCGGAGATGATGATTGTGAAGTAGATTGTCTGTCCGCTTCCGTGCCTCTTTCAAGTATCTGGAATGGGTCCACTTCGTCATTTCACGAGAGGCCACAGCTCATGCCAGCTTTGCTTGATTTCCACTATCGAATTGGTGATCGTACTTGGCTCACAGCTGATTTGTGACGGCCTGAAGTCACACGCATTCACTTTATGGGAATAATTTGACGAAGATCCGGTGCTGATCGGAACACAATCACAGAACAACTTCATATATCCTTGGGATAACTACGAGCTGTAGAAATTTATACAGCTTTCAAGTACTCACTCTCAGCGATGCTTTTTGTATGGAGGGAATATAGAGCTTCTTACAAGCGTAGATTGGTCTGAGCTGGGAAGACGACTTAAATATTGTCGATAAGCTCGCATTCTCTTGACTCAGCTGGGGCTTTGTTGCAACTTCCATGTAACCTGTCCTCATAGGCTGGTTCTCTTTTCCTCCAGGTGGCTGAGAAGCCCAGCATTGCTCTGTCAATCGCTACAATTCTTTCTTCGCGGCAGGTATAGTAGAGTGCCACCATATCTATGTTTTCTCCCTGGAAATGATGAAGTTTACAATTTGAGTAGACTTTCAGTTATGTTTCACTACGTATTTTGGGACCAATGTTTCTGCTTTCGTCCATTTAATTAACAAGTGACCCATCTTGTGATAGATTGTGGATATGCATAGCACAGTGGCCTTGCATATTCGTCTCCTTACAGATGCGAATGTGCATTTCTAATTAGATGAATACAAGAAGATCCTTTCTAGAAGTACACGAGTTCGATGGCAACTTCAGGGGCTCCAACGTGCGATACAAAGTTACTTCAGTTATTGGTCATGTCCTTAGGTGACCACCACCGCTCGCGACTTCCAGCTTGCAGAATATTGCTAGTATTGTTAGGAGAGTAAATGCCATTTTTAATACTTTGTTTACTTTGTGCCTCTATCATCAGATTCGAAAATGGAATGCTTGCATCGGGATGGCTAGGAGAAGTATTTATCTTCGTTGATTATGTTCACTGACCCCTTTTCTTTCAAATTATTCCTACTCTCGCTTCCAGCATCGACTTTCCTCCAAAGTATCAGAATTGGGACACAACAAACCCCTTTGACCTCTTCGACGCTCCAACTATAAAGTCAGAAGCAAACCCGAAGGTACTCCTTTATCCTGAGAGCCTGTGCTCTTATCATTTTTCAATGCAGTGGACTCTTAGAAAAAATTCCTCGCTTTGTCTCTTCGTCAGTGTTTTCATTTTCAATTTCGAGAATGAATGCAAATCTGGACATATCTCTGCTATATTTGGCTTCATAGACTGTACAAGTTACAATTACCTCTATATTCTTCGTGAATTTTGACATCCGTATCTTGGTATACACTTTGGACCTTATGAAGGCTCATGTCTCGAAGCATCTCCAGCAAGAAGGTCGCTCCTGCGATTATCTCGTCCTTTGGCTGGATTGTGATCGAGAGGGTGAAAACATATGTTTTGAAGGTCAATTCACAACTCTGACCTCGCAGGTAGTAGAAAATTGTGACTCATTACCGTTGCCACAAGTGCACGGGAAAGTTCTTTTTCTAGGATCCTTTCAATTACTGTGTTATTTTCAAGTTCGATGGTTCTTGATGTCTTGTAGGGTTCATCACGGTCGCCAGTAGATCATAGAAACTACTGTCATCTCCTCCCCTTTACATTGAGTGTCATGCCTGAGATTTCCGCCCCTACTTGTTCACAGTCCACAGTCTCTGCCTCCGAGGGATTCTCAATATTTTAGTCAATTTCTTATTACTTCAAGTTTCCTAGTAACTCATAATACACTTAACTTAGCCGAAGAAAACTCTGTAGAAGATTATTTCTCTTGAATAGCGTTTCAAATGCCTACCTACCTTCATTTGCAGTGATGGATATTGTTGTTCCCGTTATGAGGCGGACTGTTCGCCAGCAAGTTTTTCGAGCACGATTTTCTGCAATCAGTGAGTCCGATATAAGAACAGCAATGAGCAGTCTAGTGGAGCCAAATCGAAATGAGGCATTGGCAGTTGATGCCCGACAAGAAGTAGATCTGAAAGTTGGTGTGGCATTTACACGTTTTCAAACCCGCTTTTTTCAAGGCAAATATGGCAACCTTGACTCCAGTGTCATCTCGTACGTATATAAATTGTCCAACTTTTTCAATATGGTTTATGAAAGTTTGGTCCTTGCGACTTGTTCATTTTAGTTCCACGAACTTATTCCACATGGATGTCATATACCTTAGCTTCAATGAGGTTGTAATAGATGCATTTATATAATTGTTGTTATCCTCACACCAGCCATAGGTTGGTTTAAACTGTGAGAGATACGTTTTTCATGTCTTTCTGACTGTTACAATTTGCTGTTCAAAATGACCTTTTTCTTTACATTTTGTGCGCATTTCATGTGACAGGTATGGACCGTGCCAGACCCCTACGCTTGGCTTCTGTGTGGATCGTCATATTCGTATAACCACCTTTACTCCAGAACCTTTTTGGGTAGTGCGTCCACATGGCTCTAAGAGTGGTCAACAATTAATGTTTGAGTGGGACCGAGGAAGAGTTTTTGATCGAGAGGTATGCAAGAGTTTTTCGCGTTCAATTTGATGTGAGCCATAAAGTACTGCCTTGTGCGGGTATATTGGACAATTCATGTACTTTTATTGGCGAAGTGCTGACTTCGTGTTGCTTACTTGCGATTGGCATGACCTAATTTTCGGAATTCACAGCCTGCGCTGAGGACGGTCACTGAAGCCACTAGGTTTCTGTTTTGTTAACTCAATGGATTATGTACTGTATATTTCTGCAACAGGTAGGGGTGATGTTTCAAAAGATGGTTATAGACGCTGGTTCTCTCAAAGTCACTGCTGTTAGTAAGAAAGAGGAGAGAAAAGTTCGTCCGAACGGTCTGAATACGGTTGACATGCTGAAGGTTTGTTTACTGCTCATCCTCTTCCATGCTTTTCTTTTCCCTGTTTACAGAAAGCAGAACTGATGTCCTGGTGGATATGCCTATATTCAGATAGATGTAAATAGATATCGTGGTTAATATCGTCGTCATGTTACTTAGGTCGCTTCAAGTGCACTGAATATGGGTCCACACCACGCAATGCAAATTGCTGAGCGGCTTTACACCCAAGGATATATCAGGTGTGTAACAAGATTCCAAACTATGTTATATCTCACTGGCAGCTCGCTTTTTGAGCTTTTCTAAGCCAATCATGTATTGAAGTTCAACCAACATTACTTTGCGTTTCATAAAGAAGAGCTTTGTCTTACTGTGTCTCATCATCACTTCTCCAATCTGAGTTACGAAATGAAGTGGCCTGCTGGTAACTGAGTGTTTTCTTGAGAGTATTACGAATGAGAATTGTCAGTTCGAGCACTGGTTAGGGCTTTGTTGCTCAGACCTTCGTTGTCACTCACAACCAGGCCTACTGATCGCATAACGGTGGGTGTTGTTCAAGAGAAGTACTATATTAACGGATCGTAGATATTTAAACTATTTGTCTACCGAAAAACAATGATCTAGGATTGTTCACCTGTCTGCAAAGCCAAATATGTTGCGGAGTATGCAGTGTTCTGTGCTGCTCTCCCAATTACTGCGGAGTTTGTTACAATATAAGCCGGAAAATTAGGAGTAACTTCAAACAAATGTTCGAAAGAGGAAATGCTGATTGAACCAGGACTGTTTTTCACCAGCTATCCACGAACCGAGAGCACGTCATATCCATCGAGTTTTGATGTGCGGGGTGCGTTAGCACTGCAGCGGAATCATCCAATCTGGGGCGATTATGCCCAATCGTTGATTGCTAGTGGCTCTTATGTTCCAAAGGCAGGGGTAGATGCAGGTGACCATCCCCCAATAACACCTATGCGGTGTGCCACTGAGGCAGAATTGGGAGGTGATGCTTGGAGGCTCTACGAGTATGTCACTCGCCACTTTCTTGGTAGTGTCAGCCCTGACTGCAAGTTCATGAGGTATTCATCTCATGCTGGTTTTCCCATTCCTCATTTTTATCTCTAAAGCCTAGCTGTCTTGGACGTAGAGAGATATTTTGTATTACAAGTAAAATCATGTATACTGCAGGTTGAAAATTTCACTTTTTTTTTAAATTTTTTTATCCAATGTTTTAGTTGTTTTTCTCAGTACTTACTCATCGATTGAATGTGAAGTAATCACCCCTTTATGAAGTTATCATTAGTGTTGGGTGAGTTTAGACACGTATGCGATTGCCCTAGAAACAGCGTTGTTCGATTTAGCTGGTGGTGCCAGGGGTTTGCGAAGGACCTCCCTTGATGTGGATGTAAGCTTGTAGACCTGTTTCCGTTTTGGCTGCATGTATTTTTAACTTCGAATTATTGCTGTAATTTCTAAAGAAGATAGTTGTGAGATAATTTTCAAGCATTACTTTCACAACGTCAACGCCCGCGATCTCGTCATCTCTCTGTTGTGTGTGGCAGGACAAAGGTTCTGCTCTCAGCCGGAGGAGAGAAATTCTCCATAGCCGGAAGGAATGTCATTTCTCCTGGATTCACTTCCTGTATGCCATGGCTTGCTGTTTCTGACGAAAACCTCCCCACTTTCACCGTAGGAGAATCCGTAAAATGCGGAGAAATAGAACTTCATCAGGTATTTAAGATTTCCTGACAGTCATAGTTTAGGGTACGGCGTAATGTTTGATAGGAGATTTTTTTTTGTGCTCAACGAATGGGAAATTTTGACATTCTGGAACGACATCGCAGGGACGTACATCACCACCGGACTACCTGACAGAAAGTGAACTTATATCATTGATGGAGAAGAATGGGATCGGTACAGATGCATCAATTCCTGTGCATATTAACAACATTTGCGAGAGAAATTATGCACAGGTTGGACCTTCTGTTCTTTTTCTCATCTAAAGTGGCTTCTTGATTCACATATGCTTTTGTCCAGTAATCTCTTTGTGCCACTTTGATACTGTCCGTACTGATCATCTACGTTGAATACAGCACTAGCCATCTAAGTATGTTTCTCTATAAGTAGCGCGGTTGAAATTTTATTGGTCCAGACACTAAAACTATATCGTGAGAAGTGACACTGATTTTGGATAAGTACTTGTAGTGTTGAGTCATATTCGTGCTGAGCAATGCGCAACATTTATGAGATCGATCTTGATGACCATAAGTAGGAGACAAATGTGTGACATTAATGGGTTGTACAACACACACTTATGACTGGCAAACACACTCTTGCACTCTATATACATCCCTCTCCCCTTCCTCCCCTGTGCGTCTTTCTGTTGTGCTGTGTTTTTCTTTTTCTTGTAAGACAGCCACTTGACGAGGACCTTTTCCAGTTGAGAAGAGGGCCGCACTTGAACGATGTCAATGAACAAAGAAAAGACTAGAGGGAAGGAATGAAAGGCAAATAGGAGTGGAGCAAAACGAGCTGAAGGAGAAAGAGGCCACGAAGTTGAGTTTTAGCAGTCTTATGTATACTAATACCTGTTTTTATTTACTGTTGATACTATAATAGTGTGGATTACTAATCAGTTTGTTCCACAGCATTTAAGCACTGTGGGGCATTTTGAAAGGCACTGGTTAAAGGACAAAGAAAGATTCTCTGGTAACTAACACAAGTGTAGACATTGTGTACACAGAAGAAAAGTAGATCAGCGAAAACAATTTTGTGCACTTAGGTAATGTGGATGGTAAGAAATTTGTACTCGTCTTGTGGTGGGTAATATCAATAGAGTTGCTTCAGCTTCATTTTTCTGACTGATCTCTGGATCAGTCACAGAAATGAAGTTACCCGTAGGTACCCTATATAGAGTTTCATGTATTTTAACTCAAATAAGGTGCCTTCCCGTTGACATAGTTTAGCAACAAGTATATGTAGGCGATATTATTATCAACATTCGTTGACATTAGCTCGCCTAATACGTTGAATTTGCTAGCAGAATGCATCTGGTTGCGGTTTTGAATATTATTCTCCTTTCCTCTCCTTGAATCCATTCTTCTGTGTTGACACCAATTCTTCTATTCGTCTAGTTAATCCTTTGCTGCCCTCGAAGAACAAAGTTGACATATTTTATTGTTTAATGTGTAGGGCCTACAGTCTTTTGAGTTCGGACAGATGTCGCACTAACCTTTTCGGGATTGTTCACTAAACTTTTCTGGACAATGTAACAGGTACAATCTGGACGACGCGTTGTTCCTACTGCGCTGGGAATCACTCTCATTCGAGGATATCAGTACATTGATGTGGATCTGTGTTTACCAGATATTAGACGATTTATTGAGCAACAGATAACGCTGATCGCGAAGGGTGACGCCGATCATGCTGCGGTTGTACAACATTCTCTTCAAGAGTTTGCTACAAAATTTAAGTATTTTGTTTCGGAGGCAAGTTAATTTAACTACTCCGCTTTGACTTTTGAAGAAAGTGTTTTCTCCCGACTGTAGTCATAATAAAGACCTTCTAACGACATTTTTTCATTTTTTGAACCTATATTGCGTCTTCATACTGAATATGTGTAGGTTAGATTTCAGCTTCTTAATGTTACAAAAGATGTTCGATCTCGTAAGGAGATTGTGACCACACATGCAGGATGGTGTATGTTTGATACTAATATCTTGCCGGAGGCTTTTGCAGATTGCACGCATGGATGCTCTATTTGAAGCTCAATTTTCCCCTTTAGCAGACTCCGGTCGTTCCCTCAGCAAATGCGGTAAATGTGCCCGATATATGAAGTACATATCAATGCGACCGTCACGTCTCTATTGTTCTGCGTGTGAAGAAGTATATTCGCTACCTCAAAATGGTCAAATCAAGGTATTTCATTGCAAAGGACCACTTTGTACTTTCTCATCACCATCGTGCCGCACAATTTGCAACTCTAGCATTCTAGAATCGTGGTTGTCATGGCACATGAATTGTCTCTGCCTTATCCTGTGAAACAAGACGAATTCAAAAGCTTTAGTTTATTGAGTGGGGTGCGGTATTCTTACCTGCTAACACAGAGGCTGGAAATCTCCGCAGTTATACAAAGAGCTAACTTGTCCGCTGGACAACTTCGAGTTGGTGCTGTTCTCTTTGGCTGGTCCCGATGGGAAGTCATATCCTCTGTGCCCTTATTGTTACAACCACCCTCCATTCGAAGTGGCTGGAAAAGTATCTGGAGGTCTTCTCACTGCAAAGGAGCCTGCTGGGAAAGCTGGAGGAATGCCGTGTACACTTTGCCCTCATCCCACCTGTCGCCATTCTATGGTTAAACAAGGGGTTTGTGCCTGTCCTGAATGCGAGGGCACTTTGGTACTTGATCCAGTAAGTGCTCCTAAGTGGAGGCTGGATTGTAACAAGTGTAGCTGTCTTGTATATCTGCCACATAATGCTCATCGAATAGCCACAACGGACGAGAGATGTGATGAATGTGGTTCGACCCTCTTGGAGGTGGATTTCAACAAAAACACAACACCTTTGAAAGACAAGGCCACTCTGCACAAGGCATGTGTACTATGTGATGATCTTTTGCACTCCCTGATAGAAATGAAACATGGAAAGTCTTTCATGCGAAGGCCTGGCGGACGAGGTAGGGGTCGAGGGAGGGGCAGGGGTGGACGCGGTCGGGGAAGAGCTAGAGGTGAAGATCCGAAGATGAGTTTTCGTGACTTCTAGGTCCGAGCGAGGATTAAATCTTGTGATGGTCTAGATGCAGAGCAACATGGGGAATATAGAAATCTGTCTAAACTTTTACTTTCACCTCCAAATTAAAATTTTTGAGCTTAGGTTACATTTCTTGTAGTGCAGTTGGAAATATTCAAAAGAAGCTCAATGCCTGTTCTCAATAGTTACGTCCCAAAGGTTCATCCCCTTTAAGTCAGCTTCCAACTCTTTCGTCCCGTAGATCGGGAGTTTAGAGGAAGCAATATTGAGCCACTCACATAATGTAAATTCTTTTCCCTATAAGATTCAAACTCATATTTCTTTTCATTCTTAGTACACCTATCGTACAAGACAATTGTACAAAACATCATCCACTGTACATGCTCACATACTCAGAAATGAACTTTTTATAACTTCTTTGCACATCCATCGCCGCAGCGAATGGGCAAGTATGAATGACAAGCTCAGAATCAAGGGCTCTGTGAGAATCAGGATTCAAAAACTACTTGTCATTTTGAACAGTTGTACATCTCCCTTGATAATTCACTTCACCAGGTACAGATGTGATTCGAATGTCTTCCCTATCTTGATTTTCTCACTACAGAACCCGCATGTGGAGTCCAATGTAGTTTAGTCAAGTCAATGGACCAATGTGGTTGTGCACCGACGCTCTGCCACATGCACCACAACTTCAGTTCTCGATTCGAGTGTGGGATAACACTTCAGAGAACGTAAGTTCAAAGTAAAAACGCAGAATTACAAACCTTCAAGTGTTCATCCACGATCTTCGCAGACACAGAAATAATGTGTTGACCCTTCCAGTATCTGTACAAACAAATCAAATCGAAACTCAGATGTTGAAGAGATTATAGTCAGATACTTCACAGAAGTAGAAATCGTAAATATCTGAAGTGAAGAACGGAAGTCTAGTTCTTTCAATCAATACTTACTTAATAAGATTCAGAGACTGGAGAGTGGTGATGATATCGTCGTTTCTGATTGCCGTCATGGCACTCAAGTCCTTGATAATACAAACAGCATGCTACGGCATTAGAATGCATTCAACCAGGTCCCAGTATATTGTCCAACGTACTGGGCATACGTGTAGATTACATATATCCAACGACAGTCTTTTGGAGTGCTGTGTGATAATCATAAATGAACTAAAAAGCTACATGAAAGAACGTAATAATTCTGAAAGTATACACTTAAGGTGGTTTTAGAAAAATAACACAAATCGTAACCAACACAACTAATCTGTCTCCATCTACTCAATCCTCGATTATGCAAAAGGTAAAATGATTGACAAGCAAACTTATCCTACTTTAATGGAGAGATTTCCCCGATGATCTCGCAATATTTCCAGGAGAACCCTTGTCCAGTAACTGCGAAAGCTAACCTGCAAATCACGTCCATTTATCATGGTTCACAAAAAATACTGGCTTGGGGGACACCGCCGTAGAACAAAAGAACGACGTCAGTCGTCACCTGTCTGCAAACTTCAGTATATCTAAATTTCTTCAAGACCAACCTAAGGAGCAATGTACAATACGTTGCTGGAACAAGGAATCATGCCTCACCTAAAAAATAGTCCTAAATTCTTCTACAATACACAGTCACATCTTCAAAACGGATACAGCGCCTCCATTCAATTCACTTTAAGGTAAATTCATGGAGAACGTGACCACGTACTCTGAAAAAGCACATAATTTTCAGCCATGCTTTCAGAAACAGTTCATCATCCAATATGTCTTCAACATAGGCACTTCTATGATGTTCGTCCGGTTCTCATATATGTATCAAACATATCACTGCCTTGTATTACCTGACCCAAATCGGAAAGAGGTCGTTCTGGAGTCCCCACTTTGTTCTCTTTCTTAGACAACTCGTATGCTACAGATCAATGAGGATGTTGGGACAATAAGTGACGACTTCGGTAAAATTGTGGTCAGAGATAAATACAGAGAGCAAGCCAGAAAATAAACACTTTAAGCATAAACACTATCATAAATGATGTGTATACAACCAACAAACAGGCAACCCAACTTAACGGAGAAAGACGAAATCCTACTTGAACACGATTGTGGAGAATTGATGTACCTCACCCCGCCGACATAAAACTGACTTTTCCTCTCTTCCTTGAAATGTTCTAAAATCGAAATACACCTATTCAGAAGATATATATGATGTATAGAAATTAACTCACCAAAAGAGATGAGAAAACGGCCGTATCCTCTCCGTTGGAATGGAGGAAGAGTCAATATACATGCTAGATTGTAATCTTCCGCTGAGCACTTCTCCTGTAGTAAAACGTTGGAAATATTTCAGTCTTGAATACGGGTCAACAAGATTGCGTCTTGACACACCTGCAAGCATGGAGAGATAATCTGAAATGGAAGTAGATAATTATCCAAGCGGCACTTGACCAACTGCGTGCATTTTGTGGGATGATCCAATCGTAGATATTGAGTATGGTTGGTCATAACAACCATATCAAGTGCACAAGGGCTAGACTTCTATGGCATGTATCGAGAGCAATGGGTAGCATGAAATACCCAATTTTACTTGCACGTATGAAAAATAAGTAATGATGGGCAGATTTACTAAGTCAAATCTACAAAAAGTGAGGTCCTTTTCTGGCAGGAAGTATCAAAGAAGAGTAAGCGTGTCAGTGTCAAGATGATAGTTATCAAGGAAGCAACTTGCTAAGAATAAGACGAACATCATGAGTAGATTGAAATGGCAAGTGTTCATCTCTCTAGCAGGGGTGTATCGTCTTCAGGCTATTACAGTGAGATGCAGATTGCTCAAGGCCCTACAATCACAATAATTGAGTGCAACATTAAATATATTACTGTATTCTACAGTTCTTTTACACTCTTATTTAATTCCACAGAATAGTTCACAGAAAATACCTTCGAAAAATAGCCGACCAGATGATGGCCAAACTCATCATACTCTGTTAATATGTAGAATAAAAAAGCTTCCACATCGTAGTAAAGGGTCTTATGATCCAAGAACAACTTTGCGAGCAGACACAAATTCTGCATGCGTAGAGAGATTTCAGTAGCTATTACTAAGACGTATTATCTTCGTACGCTAAAACACCATCAACTAGCACTAGGAAATGAAATTACAGAAAGCACAAACGACGTGGAAAATCTCTCAGCCAGAAAATTGGAGTCAACGGGAACGCTTCGTTGGCTCTAGGACGAGAATTGTGGCAATTGACTCAACTCACTTACAACTACGGCCTAGACTAACCACATCTGCAAAGACATACACTTTTTTAACCCCAACACTCGTCAAGTCACAACTAAATCAGTGACTACAGTATATGGCATCAAGGATGACGAACACGAAAAGATAGAAAAGGATGGAATTGAAGCCATCTCACACGAAACCACAGCGATTCGCGTCTGCCCCTGACAACACCGTTCATTCCTATAATTAGTTTTCACAACACACCTGACAGTACATTTTGCTCTTTCTGCCGTCCACTTCAAACATGGATAGGTTTTGAGGCTTTCCCCTCCCTCCAGCAGCTCTTGTCTGGTTGCTCGTCGACGGGTCTTCTGCTTGTGAGCTTAGATCTCCTCTTGAGGTCGTGTGATATATTTCATCTCCTGGAGGATGTCTTAGCTCGCATTTGATCTGATGAATTCCCACCTAGGTATCAGATTTACATACCCAATTTCAGATGATCCTGCTCTAAGTCGTGACGAAAACTCCAGTCAGTTGAAATTTCGAACCTTGTGACGCTCGATACTCTTCTTCTTCTTCATGTATTTGAGGCAGAACTCGCAAATGTAGAGTTTGTGAACGTTGGCGTATTCTTCGGGATAAGGTGAAAAGTACCTGAAAAGAGAACGAATAGGAAAGACCCGAAGACCGACAACCCAATCATTAAAATTGAGCCTGATATGCCCATGAACAAGCTCTATCAACTGATTATCCTCTCGTCAAAAAGGACAGGAAAGTGTCAGATAATCCTCCAATATGAAACTGACGAAAGTTGACAGATAGCACGGAGCGATTTCAACCATATCCATCCCTTGTCACCGGACAGACTTTTGAGCTATTCTTGGTTCCAAAACTAAGGCCACCAATGAGACATGAGTGGTCCACAGATAAGATCCAACATGAAAACGTTTCTGGTTTTCATACCATGTGTCAATCTCGTATTTGCCAAATTCCACCACCTGCGAAAATTACCCAATAAAAGATGATGGTCACATTGTGTTGACGAGCAGCTACGATAGAAATCTACTTCAGCGCTCTTAGTTTTAAGTTCGTGAGCATGTTAGACTTTCATAAGGGTCCTCGCACCACTACTGTCCATTTCAGCTCATGCTAAGTGATCTAGAAACAAGAAGGATTAAAGTTTTGATCTTGAAAACAGTAAAGAGATATTAGTCAGGAAAAGAAGAAAACAACTATAGTGGTGGAAACAACTATGGTGGATATTAGTCAGGAAAAGAAGAAAACAAGATTGCCAAAAATTTCTATGTAACACTGACAAGCACAAAATACATCAATCGTGCAAAACGACGGGAAAACCTTCTCAAAACTACATACATGGGAAACTTTGCAGTACAGAGGCAATGGGTAATATAGAGAGAACGTAGCACTTGAGACAAAGGAAAAACTCGCTGGATCTTGTCTGAACGATCTCCACTTCTGAACCACCGACCAGAACTCCAGCTGAGACATGCTTAGCTATATACCACTGAAAATTTGACAGGATATCGTCGACGATATGACATAAGACAAACCTAGAGATCTGGACAAACCTAGGCCTAGTTCGACTCCACAGAAGACAGTCGAGTCGCTAAGAACCAAAAATGAGAGCCAAGCCAATGGACAACCGAAGAGTAGAAACGGCAGAAACATAGCAGCCATTTTTGGCTCTAAACTTTGAGAAAGTATTTCAAGCATGTTTCATGACACATGCCAATAGGCTAAGCAATGGACGGGTGGTTACACCACCGTTGTCCACTAAAGTTATAGCAGACTCACGAGTAAGTTCTAAGGGGTAATCACAACAATGACAGAATTTCTCTCCACAAACGCTGATTAATGACCAATTTGATCCTCGAAGTTCCACACCATGTCGCAGTTTCTCTAAGTTCTTTTCTACAGTGCAGCGCTTACGGACCTCCTGGTAAACTGCTGTTCTGCTCCCACGACAAGACTTCATGACTGAAAGCAGGGCAATCCTGGGTAGAAGTCACTCTTCCATGATCGTACCTGGATGTTCTTCACCTTAGTTTTCTCCTCGTGCTCTTTTTCTAGGGTTTGATCAATCGGTGCGAGTTCCTCCACTCCCTAACATGCAAATAGACACACAGCGATGAATTATCTCAACATGAGAACATTGTCTCAAACGCGTAAAAATCTCCTATTCAAAGACCGTAACACTAAGAAAGGGCAGTGCGATTAAACACCATGGAAAGACAATAGGCATAATATGTGATGCCAAAATTGGTATCCCGTGCAGGTATCCCCCTATGTGACCACAAACAATCCAGTAGGAGAACATAATCAGGCATTCCCAAAACCAAACCCATTCTGACTAATCAAACCTTGAGGACACAAGAATCCTAGAGCGACGACAACATGAATGATTGGAAAGGATAATTGAGCAACCTTTTGCACGTTATTGAGCTCATCGTAGCGCCTCTTCAAATTTCTTGTGATCTTACGGTCGGAAGCTCCTGGAGTGTCAAGTTTGTTATCTCCAGACCCAGGCCCATTTAAAGCAGGAGTTCCAGGTATGACTAGTGGTGTCAGTTTCTCTGTGATGGACAGCTTGGACGGGAGGCCTGAATCGGGATTCCAGTCCTCCATTCGTGTGTACGAAATCCACTCATCTAAACGTTTGTTATCTGCCACAAAATGGACAGTTCAAAACGGGAGACTGGTATTAGGTTCTCCCGAGTTCCCCCATTCGATATCACCTTGTGACTAGTTTGGAAGCACTCCTCGACTTATTCGCAAACTTAACAACGATGATACGATCTAGGCATGTTTCAGAACAGGACACCCAGTTTGTCGGGCTTCGCTTTTGCAAAACATACATCCTAAAGATGTGCTGGTTTTCACTCTTGCAAAAACAAACTCACATTCTAAGTAGTGAACATAGTACTCCACGCCAGTCTTGGTCTCTCGTCTATCCACAATCTCTGCAGAGTCTGCGTAATGAAAATTACGTACATGTGAATGACAAGTTGGTAAGTCAAATCTGACAATCTGAAACAACCAACAAAAATGTACTTAACATTCTCCAGGTTGCGAGAACAACAAGTTTGAGTCGGTTTTGTCTTTTGGATCGGTTCCCACGGGACAAATCTGGATCGCAAACACCAGGAATCCATAGAATAGCTCCAAAATGCACATAGAAGCTTACTCTACTGGGCACATACGATAGAAGCTGTCCCAGCTTGCAATGCAGGCCACGAGCGCTCCAATCTCGTACTTTGTTCTAGGGTCTATAGGAACCTCATCCACGGCCTCAGTGCCGGCCACATCGACCATCGTTTGATCCTGATAGAGAGCAGACTAAGTAGTCAGGACGTAAGGATGACCGATAAAACGACTGATTCTGTCTCGGACAGATGCGCGTCATCCAACAGCATATATATATTTGTTAGCGGTTCAAAGAGCAGAGAATTGCCTGAGATGGCCCTTGGGGATCGAACACAACTAGCTCGGTACTGGTTACAGCCACCTCCACGTTACTTGGAGTTGGACCTGCAGTTGGTTCCACACATCCATTGCCATTCTGCATACATGACCGTCCACGCGTATGCATCAGAGAAACAGTGTGTTTGAGGCTTCAACAGACAAATTTGAAATATAAATAAATCAATAACATCCCCGGATACGATGCTAAATGTGGTCTACATAAGATATTTCAGCCACATAACGATTTGTGATATTGTTCTGGTGAGATTCTAGCGCGATTGATACAACAAAGGCCTCTGCATTCGCCTAGTTGGGAACATGTAAATTTCTGTATGCATCTTGGGTTTCAAAGTTATCGCAGTCGGCCAAAAGTTTTGACTACCTCAGCGTGAGAAAGAAAAAAAAACCAGGAGAGAGAAAGATACCTCCCAGTTAGCGCAGTGGAAATTAACGATCACTTGAATGACAAAACAGACGAAGCGGACAGAAAGTACGAGAAAAGGACGAAGCTGCTTCTTGACCACAAAATGCAAGTTTCATTGATTGTATTTCCACTTAGGGAAGTTACAAGGCCCAGAGTAGTAACTCGAGTGAACACGCAAAGCAAGTGGCTTGCTTCAACATTTTACTCAACAGTTTGCCAGGTGTTCGAATAGAAAATTAACATCATCCAAGTGTTCTCCAGTAAGAGGGAGCCGCCAGGAGTACGTTTATTGTGGACGTAAATTTAGTGTGCTACAAGAAGGTTCAACCAGGACAAAGTAAGGAAGTCCTTTGGAGATTCTACGTGCAAACCGCTCTTCCTTTCTCCGATGAATCAAATTCGAAAAGCCCTTGTCCAGATATAAACCCTTGCGGCACCACGTACCTGCAGATCTTCCATATTGTCTCGTTCAACTCTCAGCTACTCAACATATTCACCGCTCCAGAACTCGGATCCGATAACGTACCGAGGTGACACAATTACCAAAAATACTCAGATGATAGAAACTCGCAGCAAGCAATTTCCGCCCCGTACTCAATTCCACCCCATCGTCGCAACATTTCTACAACTCCTGGAGAAGCCCCATACTCGATAGGTCATCCAGAGAACACGCCTGCCCTCTGTTTAGGGCAGACAATACACCAAGAGACAGACGGGATCTCTCAGAATACGAGTGCAGTACCCGAATGGCCACTAATACAGTCACTCCATCCCCTACTGACTCAATGCAGAATTCGACACAATGTAATCAAACCCTAGTACCCAAAACCCCGTCGCCCTCGCCGGTCGTTTTCTCTACGGAATTGCCAGCGCATGCGTGCCTGTGTGCGTTGCAGGATCGCGTCCTGCAGAGTCCACAGAGTAGAATTTCACACACAACTTCCTACTTCGTGTCTTCCGTAATGAAATTTGCGCGAGACTGTCGTCCTCGCTCTGTGGGGCCGATCACCTCGGTCGTTTTCGACCCATCATGTCATATTCATAGCTCCGGCTGACGGACAGATTCATCGGTTGGCTGCTTGGCGGGAGGGCTCGCTAGTTGGTTCGTTGATGGGGTTGGTCGTCAAGGTTACTACTACCCCGACCTTGCATGGGAACAAATTTGTCGCCGCAAATGGCCGCACCGCCCTCGTGCTTTACGCAATGAACAGGACGCCCGCATGGATCGATTCCGGCACCATCCATCAATCATCACCTGCGTGACCATGCGTGTGAACTCTGTGGGCAGCCAGCCGGACTCCTCCAGTGCAACTCTGCCCTCCATCTTCTTCTCCTTCTTCTGTCGTCACGCAGTTTCCATTTTCCACCTTCTGTCCACTCTCTGGAAAGCTGGACCCAAAACCCTAACCGTGCATCCATCGCTCGCTTCCTTGCCGGTCCCCTCGAGGAGAAGAACTAATTTCCAGATTTTCCTCGAGCACTGCCCTTCTACGTTCTTAACACCCCTAGCCTTTCACGGCCATCAATCGCCTCAAACCCTCCTCCTAGTGATAATCCTTTTCGATATTGCAGAAGTAAATATGTAACCAAGCGGTAAGGGGCAGGTAGATACAAAACATATAAAGGAATCGCATTTATAAGCGACAAGCAAGAAAACGAACGCAGCAGCCACTGGCTAGCCCATAGAGTGTCTGAATGAGATTTATGGGGCTAGCCCCATGTCGGAATCTCAATCGCAATGGGTTATTGTTTGTCACTGAGAGTGATATCAACTCATTGCAAATATTCTGTTGTCTAACTTCTGGAGTACTATCCGTTTGAATTCATGCCCGAAGTGTTTCTTTAAAATGGTTTTTGTGGTTACAGGTGAATCTATTGGGGTTTCGCACATTTTATAATGCAGTTGATGGCGAGCTCACTTGCTGCACAGTCCCTCTAAACGCACATGGTTTTTTATGAATCGACTACATTTATTGGATGATATTTGTCCAATGATAATGATTTACTATGAGCTATGGAGATTGTTGGATGAATTACAGTGTAATATAGTGCACATTTTGACCCATGGTGTGGTCCAATTGTAATACTAAAGGGTTTTTAGCGGGATGGCATGATAAACTTGAGAGCTGGACACATCAATGTGATATCAAAAGTGTACAGATACTCTCATGCATTGAGCTATGACGATATGTGGTCAACGTATGACATATGTGAAACTAAGAAGGTAGTATTATGCACTTGCAGCTCGATCGGATCACCCCATATTCTTTTGTTATCCAATTGGCCCTCGTTATATGTACTACACCCTTATAGCTCTTGAATCTTCAGCCTAATAAACGTGAGATTTCTTTTGGGCTTTATTTTTTATATATTTTCTCTTTCTCAATTTTTGCTTTGGACTTGGTGTAGCTCTCACGAGCAAGCATGAGGGACTTTTTTGTTCACAAAGCATAATCTTGATGAAAATTTTATATTTTCATGATAAAATTTTCGGGGTGTAGATCTAGATGTAAGTCTGGTTATGAGATTACATGGTTCATCCATCTAATCCATGGTTCATCAAATGGTGTAGGCGTTCATGAATGTTAACATGAACATTAACCTCAAGACTCAAAGTTTGGTACTAACACTCAAGTATAGAGTTATGTATCAAAGTATGTTAGTTACTTACCTCATGCCTAAACTCTTGGATTATTTTTTGCTCATTGGTTCAAGTGATGACCTGAATTACATATGCAAAAGAGATTACATCCTTTGATTCATAACTCTAAACTTGAGTCTTATGGCGAAACTTTAAGTCTTGAGGTTAATGTCATACGTAGGTTACTTTATACTATTACATTACTCCTCTTTTATAATGTTCAAGTATCATACGTTAGTGCAAATCTTGCCAAGAGGTTGATAATGGCCATCCATCATGTTAAGGCGTGGTAAGAATAGTCACTCGCATGAATAATCTAAAAACGCTTACTTTGTCCCCGAAAAATAATTTAGTATAATTTAGTCTTTAAAAAAGTTGATTTAAACTTCTAAAGAACTAATTTACAATAATTTAGTTTTCTAACAAATTAATTTAGATGCATAGAAAGAAATGCAATTCACAAAAGTCAAGGTGAAATGGAAATTGGTTGCTTTGAGTCTATATGAACAAACAGTTGAGTTTGATGGATTTTGTAACCAAATGATGATTTTTTTTGTTGAAAGCCAATGAGTGACAAAACAAGGGCATATAGTTTACATTTCTGCGATCAAATTTTGCTGCCATGTCAGGTGAGTAAAAAATTCCTTCATCACTAAAAATATTTGTTCATTTATGACATTGTTCATTAACTCCTCCATAACAAGATCTAGTTGATGCGCTACTTACAAAATTGAATCAAATAACAATCCTTATGCATCACGTTAGCAAAACGAGTAATAACCTTAATAATTTGTCCAATCATATTACAAACTCTCTCAGTCGTCTAACCAAGAAGACAATTTGTCCAATCAAGACATTGCACTGTCAAAAACTTGCTCACCATTGTGAACACAATATCACTTGTGTGACGATCAAACATCAAAAGTGCACAATCATGCAAGTTAACAATCTAATGATAATTGTGAATGAAGATCCAAAAGCGTATATAAAGAAATGAAGTGCTATGATGTGTCGCCGAATTGAATGCTAATCAAAATGCCCATGTATATCAAAGAAGGTTTGCAATCTTTTGCAGATTGGCAGCATAGATTACTCGAATAAAGTAATTACCTTTTCTGATAAGGACATGCTCGCAAAGCAAAATTGTGTAAAATATCATATGTACAATTATTAAGTTCGGATGTCATACAAAATGATTTCTCACAGATCACATATTGCATAGCTAGACAAAACAACGTTGTTTTTGTCTTGAAAATTGTCATTAAGTAAAACTATTCTATAGCAACATACTTAGATTCAACATGTTGAAATAATGATAATGCACGTTTTTTTGACTTGATTGATGCTTGTTGTCGTTGAGCTAGTTGGATTTGATTTTCACCCATAGTACCAAACAGATGTTCATCTTCTTCATCTTCTACATCACTTTCATCTTGTCCATCAAGATTGAACATCATATTTTTGGCAATTATATCAACAATGACTCGTTCAATTTCATATACAATATCTTCTTCATCTCCCAAAGAAGACAGGAAATTAGCTTTGCGAGAATTTTTAAATGCAATTGGCCCATTGTCAAAAAATGAATTACGATCGAAAGAAGTTTTTAAGTTTTAATACACCTCCCATTGTCTAGTATGTTTGTTACAAAGATGATGCTCAATATATTCAGAACAAAAAGGAGATTTTCATGATTGAACAGGATATGTCACTTTTTGTTTAGAATTTTTTGTCTTTTTCCTACCATATGTAATGCCAAACCTACATTGCATACCCATCACTTTTGACAATTCCAAACCACAACTTTTAATCTAAATATTTTGTCATGTTCTTTCATGTACGCAGACGAACGTTTTTTGTGATTTTTAAAATGAAAAAAATTGCTACACACCTTTGAGATTTTTGCTTCTACCCTACAACATTTCAGCAACACAAAATAATTAAAACATAAGATTTTCAAAAAAAATAAAGACAAAACGACAATCATCAAGTACATAATTCACAATTAGAAAAATAATAAACTTCTTACTTTAAACCAGAAGCTATTTGACTATAAAAAATTTCACTTCAATCAAAACTATCACCCAAAGCAATGTGAAAATCCTCTGCAATAAAGATAATCATGAGTATGTTATCAAGATGTGCAAGAGATTCAAGATTAGATTATCGTGTTCTGCAAACTTTGGGCTTACTATCACTCAAGTTTATCTCTAATAGCTTTTTGATAGTTCATCATGTATCTAGAAGGCTAAGATTGCTTCTCATGTTTACATATTTAGCACTCTCTCACATAATCTTTTCACTCATCACACACATCGATATTTTAAGATACAAAAAACCTCACCACTTCATTGATGAAACAAGTTTCTACACAATAAACGCTCTAAACTTGCTTGAGAGTTTCTACTCTACCTCTTCACTTATATTACTTAAAAGATTATCATAGTAACATGTAATAATTAACTTCCAACTTACTTTTACTAAGATAAACCTTGGTAGGTTTAATCACTTCTCCACATGTGACAACATGTCATTAGTCTACCTAAACCTTCTACAAATTTTTTAATCTTGAGGTTGAGGTGGCGACATGTCATTGGAGGTTTTCAAATTTCTAGTAACTTCTCTTGTCTCTAAGTCAACATTGGTGTTATTGTAACAAATGATTTTTCATACACTAAGTCAAATCAATCAACTAATCTTGTAGTAAAAAATCTTTTGTTTTGGAATCTAGATTTTTATAAAAGACAGTGTAGAAGTGCTCACAAAAATATTTCAAAACTTCTCTAATTATCTTGCCAAGTATAGTTATGATAGCTAAACTCAGTCTTGGCTAGATAAAATTAGTTATGACTAGCTATATTTAGTCATAACTATATAGACTTAGCTATGTTTAGGCTAATCATACTCCACTCCTTGACTAGTTCTAATATTATAATATATATACGACAATCAGTTTTATAGTTCGGCACAACTCTAACGCACCGGCCGCAAGTATAAGGGAGCAACATCCATTGATGTATTACTTCATCAATGCACTTTTGAGAATGAAGAGAGTTTGAAGTCAAAGATGGAAATTTTTGCACATGATAAGAAATGTGTTCGATTTGATGATGAGTGGATTTCCATGAATGACATGTCAAGTCGTAGTACATGGTCAAGTGGAGTGAGTCAACCAAGAGTATAAAAAAAACTTGGAGATGCATGACTTTTCTCTTTCATCTTCTCAAGCTAGTTATAACGTGATGGAGGATGTAAGAAGTTATAAGGTCAAGATAACAATTGGCCACCTCATTGCTTTGAATCTAGCTATACGAAAGGAGTTGAATGGAGACTTTAGTTTCACAAGTACCAAGAAGCAAAGTTCCAAGGAAAAATTTCAGATGACAAATGTGGAAGTTGATGTGATGGATGTTGTTGCTTCGGAATTATGTACATATGCTTCAAAGATTGAAGTGAGTACTTATGGACATGATGTATCGGAAGTGCGAATAAATGATGTCTCTGTTGTGAATGCAATGCCTGAAAATTGTTGATGAAGTTGGGGCCGCGACTTTCAAAACCTTTGAGTATAATCCACAAAGAGAAGTTAAAACCACTTGGTGTGATGGACAAAATTGTGATGAATGTAAGGGAATTCAAACCTTGCTTTTCTATCAAATAATTAAATAAACTAGTTACAATTTGCTGTTATGACGTCTTTGATTGAGGGTGATGAGAACCACTAATCAATGACACAAGGTCTACTTGCGTAAAGGTCCAAAAAATCATTTGTTGAAGGATCCTTGTCGTCTGAATTAGCAACA